TGCTATTAAACAACTTTACTAATCTTTGAATACTGCTGACCACTCACTTTTCAACCCACGGCGTATACGCAATATTCATTGCCTTAAGCCGGAAATGTTAAGAGATCTTATTTAGCCAATTAGCGCCAAGCTGGGTAAACAAATTTGCACAGCTCATCAGCGAGGGCGAAAACTCTTGCCAAGAAGTTTTTGCCAGGTGCTTACAAGCGCTTTGCAATTATTACGCTGCTGCAAAGTACGCAACAATTTATGCACTTTCAGCTCCACTTGAAATCTCCCTTCTTGTCCTTGTATTTGAAGCCCGACCAGTTGGCTGTTTGTTTTGCACTTTTGAGCTGTGCCAAAGATTTGCATTTTCAATTTGTACTCCTTACCCCGATTTCCCCTCGCCCTGATTGCCAGTGAAAGATAGAGATGAAGACGGATGGAGAAGGATTACACAGGCTGGCAGGAAGGGTTCGCAAAATCCCAGGGACTGAGCCTTGACAAAGCGGCCACTTAACATTCAAATGTGAAAACAACATCAAATGCCGTGTTCAGAAATTCAACATTGTTATAGAAATCCGCAGGCTTACAGCACATTTGCCTTGGCATTGGATTCGATATTGTTGGTACCCGCTTTTTATTCATGTTTTTCCATTGCCTGAACCAGGCCTAATGGCATACGTAAGTGGCGTCTAAGCTGGGGCATTTTGTTTACTCGTCGCTCGAAGTTTGGCTATAACTCTCAAGCCTTTTTCCTTTTCCCTTTCCCATTTTATACCTTTCCATCCCGACCTTTGCCAATGCAAATTGACATGTTATGCCAGAAATGAATTGGGTAATTTTGAATGCGTATTTCGGCCATGATTCGAAAGGGGAAAAGTTTTTCACATTTCTCGACATTTCTGCACATGCAACCAAATGTGATTGTGTCAGTTTGGTTTGTGTTGTTGCGGGTTGCCACTTTGCTGCACTAAATTGCATTTAATTCTGAGATTTGCCCGTTGTGGTGGCTGCCTTTGGGTTTTTCCCTCTTTTTTTTCTACTTTTTTGCTCATGGCCTTCACCCAAATAAACCAGCGAGTGTGTGCATGTGTGTGTTGCCAGTGTTTGCCTAAAATTTATGTGTGAACACAATGCTCACCAACACCATCACAGCAATGCTGGCTGCAGCGAAACGCAACAAAAAAGGAAATATAAACGTGCACAACAAATTTTGCATACTTCTGCGCGGCTTTAAAAAATGCGCGGACTCAAAAGAATTAAAAAACTTGTATGGACACACAATCACACGTTTCTACATAATAAAACGTTGGCATAATTATACCCTAGAGGGAAATGGATTGTGGTGATCCTGACACTTTTTTGGCCAAAGTTCCTTTTCCACTTTTAAACAATTTGGCTTATTTTTTTACTCGCTCAAACTGGACCATACAGTTTTTTGATGTCAATCGAAAATGTTACTTTTTAAAGAACCATGGCATATTTTAAAATTTAAAACTTTTTTTTTTCAAAGAGTTTCTATTTTTATTTGGTCATGAAAATAAACTGTCAAATTTTAATTCTTTATTAATGTTGGCATAGTATAAAAACAACGCATTATCTGATATTAGTTTTATAATAATTTATAATAATCACAAAGACATATTTAATAAAAACAGAAAATCAAAATTTAACAATACTCCAAATATTTCCAAGTAAATTAAGTTGATGATTATGCTGCGTTATGTACATTTTTAAAGCTCACATGTTATACAAAGTTGAATGGTTAAATAAGATGTGAAGCCAACCTGCAAAGAAATCATAGAAAAAATTATATCAAGAGTAAATTATTTATTACTTTGCTCATTGTTTCACATTTGCTCCAATAAAACCCAAACTCAAAGCAAACTTAAACATCTCATGACTTATTTATACACAATTTTAACTTTTAATAAAGGTCATTCCAAGTTCGTCTTTTTAAGCAAGACATTTATTTTTTATGAGCTGACGCAATGCAAATGAATGCTTCTAGTTTTGGCCACTGCCCTTCGGCTTTGGCCTCGGAAAATGGTCTACGGCCCTCAATGGCCTAGAGAATTGAAAGTCCCCAGACGGGCATTGGTTTTGTTTCGCGATTTGTGTGTTAGATCAGAAGTGTAACAGCTTAATTAACTTAAATTGGGTTGAATGGGTGGGGCGATAAGAAGGCGCAATGCGCCGGATTCCTTTTTACTTTTATATTTACGATGGCGGACTGAAAGGAAGGCAAGCTTGACACATTTTCTTTGGCATGCAAGACACGGACAAGTTTTCCACGCTGGCGCTTAAAAACTTTTCACCTCCCACTCCCCTCGGAAAAGTCTCGGGCAGAGGATTTTCCGCAGCTAAGCTGTTGAGTTGTGGGAAGCGCGGGGGATTGAAAAGCGAGAGCCGAGTACTTTGACGAGATTTGCATAAAATTAGGGATTATTGTTAGCAGGATTCGGGGCATTGCGTGGAAATATTGAACTTTATGCGCATATTGATGGCTGGCAATCCTTTGACACGGCCCCAGAGATTCCGACTCCCTGCAAAACCTCAAGGCCCCCATTTTCGGCCCCTGCCCAATTTTCATTTAGCAAATATTTGAGGTCCAAGTAGCTCGCTTTGAGTTATGGCCAAAGCCGCAGTCGGGCCTTGCAATGGCCAATAAATCAACTCAAATGCTTACACACGAACACGGACAATTGTGGTCATTCAATTTGATTATTCAATTGCAAGATTCTGACAGCAACCAAGGAAATGCACACAGATGTGTTCTACAGATACGAGATACCAGGATATCCAAAGGATATCCAGATGCCCAAGACAAAGGCTCGGCCCACGGATAATGGCATTTTAAATGCAAAACGCTTGCATTATTCTGCTGCTGATCCCCGACTTCTGCTTCCTTTGATTGCTGGCCCAAAATGGAAGACCAAAATTTATGGGCCAGTCCCGAAAAGAAAGTTGTCTCTCTATTAAAAATAAATTATAGACAGGGCCGGGGCGAAAAAATTGTATTTGCCTTCGGCCACGTCCGGGGCCATAAATTTCCGCAAAACAAACTGACTTTGTGGCCAAGTGGGGAAGGAACGGGCAACAGGTGCACGCGTGCTGGCCACATCTAGGAGTCCCGAGTCCTGGCTGAAGGACTTCCGGCCAGAGGCTGGCCCCTGTCTGCTGTTTAATGCATGCCCTTTTCACATGGACTGGGCTCAAGTTCGGTGTGGCCTGAACCCAAAGCGATAAATCACAAAAAATGTTGCTCTTTTGCATTAAAATTTACAACCTACTAAACAAGACAGACGTCCAGAGTTGCCCACTTGACATGTGCACGCGCGCCTTAATATTGGAGTCTGTGGAATGAGCGATTTCGCATAATTCAGGCATTCATCTTGCTGGCCAAAAAGCTATGGCTTAAAGTCGAAGGTCCGTTGGGCTAATTAAGTCCACTGTAAGTTCGCTATAAGTTCGCTGTCGAGCCAATTACACGCAAATCAACTGTGGGCCCCAGTTGTCAGACAATTAGCGACCAAGGCGACTCAGCTGGCAACCCGGCAAAAGCGTCTTTGCCCGTAATCAATTGAGCGATATTGAGTTATTATGCTTTTCAAGCTGGCTTTCATAGGGCGTGGAGGGGGGGAGTGGGTGTGTGTTCGGGAAAGTTGATGCGGTGCGGTTGCCCCCAAATAGCATTTAATGTGCCCTAATGCGAATGGCATTGACATCCGCTTCACTGGGGGAAAATATAGGCCACACAAAGGTTGTTAAATTAAAAGGAAAACTAATGACAATATAAACTAATGTGAAAATATTTTCTTATTTTATAAATTCCATAAGATTTTAAGGCTTAAACATTTGTATTTTAATGTTTTTTTGGAATTGATTGTACTTATTAAGATACATTGATATTAAAACCCATATAAAAAAGTTTTTTATTTGTTTTTGTAAAATGGGTAAAGTATTTTCATAGAATTATGTATCGGTTCACCAAAAATAAAGCAACAGCAAAAGATATGGGTAAACCCTTCCAATTCTGTAAAACTAATACATTAATTAGAAACGCTGTTTGGTTATATAAAATTGTAATCATTAAAAGATTTGAAATAGATTTTAATCGCTAAAATCATTTATATTTCCTTTCTCAAAAAAAGCGGTCCAAAATTCAAAAACTCTCTTTTCTGCAGTGTTACATCCAACGAAAGTGAGTCTGAGTCTGAAGGCACTCAGCTGTTAAACGCGACAACGATGATGACAGCCATTTTTGGTAACAGAATGTTTGCTACAACTTTTCGCGGCCAATTTTGTGGCCCACTGACTGACAATGGGAAGTGGCAAAGCCTGTAGCTGTCTCTGTCGCTGTCGCTTTTGCCGTCCCTTTCCCTGAATCTTTACCCGTCTCTTTTACCGAGTCCGTGGTAATTTGAGGTTGGTAAAAAAATCCCCCATCAACAACAAAATGGAAAAAAAAGGTTGCAGAATTTAGGGGACATAATAATCCGAACACGTCAAAAAATATTCATATGTTTTTAAAAATTTAACGAGTTACAGTCCCTATTTGGTTCATCATGTTCATTGCTATTAACAAAATCCAGCATTTTATGTTAATTAAGCCCACATGTGACCCACATCCTAAAGTCTAACTGGTGTAATACAGCTGACAACCTAAGTAATCAAACCCAATCAGTTTCCGGGCGATTTCCCCAAATTCTATATCTAAACCATTTGTTAATTCTCAATAAGAATTTGGAATTAGGACTGTAGTAAAAATCTAGGTTTGAGTGCAAATTGATTGGATATACGGATACAATAACAACAGAACTATCTCACCTATAAAACAGAATGAAAAGCAGCACAGGTTTCATTTGTGTTTATCCAATATCTGTTTAGAGACAATTAAAGTCGCGAACAGATATCAATAATCATAATGAAGAAACAACTTTCAGCCGTTTTTATAAGCTGATTCTCTTTATAAACCAGAGCAATGGCTAATTTAATGCGCAGTCGAACTGAGCTAAGCCATCGATCATGAAGATGTCCTTTGTCTTGCTTTCACTGGTCTCTCGATTCCTGGGGGCCACAACGCAGCTTTCAGTGAATGCGGAAGATGTGATCACCACAACTATGCGGACAATGATCCCCAAGCCACCGAGTCCTTATTGCCAGTCCAAGTTGTGCCCCAAAGGACAAACCCATGTGGCCTGTGAAAGCTTTTACAAAGTGAGTATGAATCGAAGTCATAAACTGAGGTGCTCGTATATCAACAAAATTTAAAGGGAGTATTTTTAATAAATATTTATAAAATGCTGGTTACAATTTAGGGAATGGATAGATTCAGAAAACGAACTGTAACAAACTGAAATCTTCTCAAAAATTATAATGAAAACCCTTGACCGTTTCTATATAATTTTTCCAAGACTTTTAATAATTTTCATTTGCCAAATAAGTAGAAACTTCTTTATATTTCGATTGTATTTAAAATTATACCCTCGATCAATTGAAGGAAATTTAGGCGTTAAAGATATAGATAATTCCCGAAATCCTTCTTCAGAGTCTTCACCGCACCTGCGCCGCCAAGGAGACGACTTTTGTGAACATGACGACCCAGGCGGAGAATATCGTGAAGCACCACAACGAGAGGCGTTATCTGTTGGCCAGTGGCAAGGACTCCTCTCTACCACGTGCCGCTCGAATGGTGGCAATGCAGTGGGACGAGGACCTGGCCGCCGTGGCAGGATTCAATGCCAGAATGTGTGTGGCCAAGCACGATGACTGCCGCAACACGGTCAAGTTCCCACGATCCGGCCAGAACATCATTGTTTTCAATATGACGCGACGAGTGGAGAAACAGCTGATGGAAATACTGTACCCGGAGCTACTGTCCATTGCGGTGAAGACCTGGTGGTCGGAGGCCGAACGGATGACCGCCGAGAACATGGACCTCTATCCGTGCGATGAGAAACTGCAAAAGTAAGCCATGAAATACCTTAACTGCATTATGAAGCCTCCTTTGACCGACGGCACTCCATTCGACAGCGCCTACCGCCACTTTGCGGTCATGGCCGTCGAGGGCAACTCGCACGTGGGCTGCGCTGGACTGCGGTACGTGGTGGGGAACCTGACCCAGTTCAAGCTCACCTGCAACTACGCCAGGGCTCCGGTCTGCGGACAGCCGATCTACCGCTTCCGACCCGTCGGATGCCAGACGGGCCGCAACAAGAAGCACTCGTCCTTGTGCTCGCCCACCGAACTCTTCCGCTGAATTTTTCAAGGGGACACACACACGCACATCTCGAAAGGCCCCACATTAACGCATCTTGTTTATCCATGTTTACCCCGAAAAACCCTGGCCATAAATACCATTCAACGAGTGGCCAAAACGAATGGCCATGTTCCACAGCTGCCCATGCAAAATTCAAACAACTCCATCGGAATGGAATTTCTGCCAATTTCCTGTGACGAACCAGGCCCGAGGTCCTTGGCGAGCCTGGCAGGAAGTATCGATGGCGGTGCAATTACCTGCATAACAGCCGGGAAAAATAGCCACACTGCGAAAATATGTTTATAAACGCTCGGAAAATATAGAGCTTTGGAAACTCGTTTTACATTGCTTTTTTAAGTCGATTTTTTTTTTAAAGACATTTCAATACAACAATTTAGGAGTATAAATAGAGGCAATTAAATATATTTTTTAAAATCGATGTCATTGATTTTAACACATTAAAAAAACCTAAGCATCATTTAAACCCATTTTTTTTCGATCCAGCTTATGTAAATAAAACATAAACAATTTTTGGTTTTTTGTGTTTCAAAATTTCATTAAAACCGATTTAAATGTATTCGAAATTACTTTTGAAAATTTAACAAGAAAATAAACTTTCATATATGTTTAGATACATATACAGGTCACTAAAATTAAATACCAAAATATTGTAATGCGGTTATACATGGTTTCATAGTTATAGTCTTAAAATCTACTTTTGATCGTTCTATTTTCCAAACTTTTTTTTTCCCTAAGTATACTTTGCGGTTCCAAAGAGGAAATGATAGTAAAAATGTTATTTTCAGGCATTTCTATCTCAGTATAAGGGGCACTCTAAGGGAATAAGAAGGAAGCAAAATGATGCAACGCTCTTCATTATCGCAATCCTCACTTCCGTCGCCCCTTTATGGGTGTAAACAACTTGGTTAGGACAACTTGATTGGGCTGAGCTCATTTAATTTAATTTTATTCCTGCATAAACTTTATGGCTTGTTTAGGATTGGTATTTAATGGGCAATCGAGTGGCGTTCGGGTCATTAACCGACCCCGTTGCAATGCCAATGGGGAGTGGATAGCCCCCTCCAAAGTGGATGCTGTTGCTGAGGAGTATTGCTATCGTAAAAGCCAACTACCTCTTAGTGCCAACCGGGGTGTTAAACACGTGTTTTTCTTTCAGATACGGAGCTCCATAGAGCTGATACACCATAGTTAATTAAAAGTGCCACACCGATTGAATGGCGGAATGATATTCATTAGACGCGGAACATAGCCCCTCTGTTTCCAATCCGATTAGCACTCTCCACTGCACTGCCATTCCATTATTTTATGCGACTTCATTTGATTGAAATGCATGAGAGTTTGGCGGGATGAAAATGGCAAAGCGGGAAATCGACTTTTCTCCCAGCTGGCATCTGGTATTCGGCTTGGCTGGCATTTAACTGGAGGTAACCTCCACCTCCACCCACTGTTAGCCACTTTCCATTCGCATGTCTGACACCTGGCGAGAGAAAAACTAAAAGTCACCACTTCCGCAGCACATAAATTTGAAGCGCTGCTCGTTTTTGAGGCTTCCTGAACCCCAGAAAAAAAATGCAACAAGCTGGGCGGGCTGAATAAAAAAATACTAGACGGTGTCCTTCCATTTTTCCATTTTTCCCTTTTTTAATATTTTTTTTTGGTCGTTTTCCTCTCGCATTGCATGCCAAATTGTTCATGTAGTTTGCAGTTTTTGTTTCGCCACAATTTGTTTTGCTTTGGTTCACCGTTCCCACTGTTCGCTTTTCACTTTTCCGTTTCCGTTTAAGCACTTGAACTTAAAGCATTTTCATTTTTTTTTGCCAGGGAGCGTCGGGGGCCAACAATTTATCAAAGTTATGGCCGTGGATCTGGAAGTAGAGCAAATGTTTGGACCCACCATGAACCCCTCGAATAAATATCTATTAAAGCCCTTCAAGTCCTCAGATGCAAGTGAAGATTTACGGGGCTCCGGACTCCTGATAATGGTGCATTAGCGTGTAAAGCGTTTTCGATGCACTTCCCACGGAGACAGTTCCACTCCTGTTCCCCTTTTCCCCCTGCAAAGTCATTATCATTGTCAGCACGTAAAGCTTGCTCGCATGTTCAATATGTGTTTTCAGTGGCTGTGTGAGCGAGTTGGGTTTTCGCGGCTTTTCCTTGCATTATGCCTTTGACCGCACTTTTCCTTTGTCTTTCTCTTTCTCTCTCTCTCTCTCTGTTCCACAAACACACACTGAAAACTCAGGTGGCAAAGGTGTCCCGACCCAAAAGGCAAAAACCACTTGAAAGAATTTTTATTTTATGCCGCGAGCTACGCTCTAAAAGGTAGGAGAGAAGATAGAGTTTATTGGGGCAAAGTGCTAAAGTATCGAGGCTTTAAGCATTCGTTGCCTACATTTTTAATGAAATTAGCATTAATATGTTTACAGAATATAAGACAAGCCATTACCAAATTAATGATAGTATCCAAAATATATAAACCGTAAAACCCCTCCTGGAAAGCATTTTATTTATTGATAGTAGAAAATATATTCTTGTAAAAAAGAGTTTACTATGCAACTAAAGTACTAGAAATGTTTAAAGGAAATAGGATAGTCATAAAGTAAAATAAATAATTTTTCTTTTAAGACTTATTTAATTTTTTGTGAGCAGAAATAATAAATATATCTAATTTGCTCATAACAATTTAATGAAGAATCTAAAATAACATAATTAGTGATGGTATATTTCAAGTTTTATTGAATAATTAGCACACTCTAAGCTTATGTATAAAACTAAGCCACAGAAAAAGTTTCAGTCTTTACTAATAAAATTCTAAGCTAATAAAATTCTTTTAAAGCTGATGTTTTAAAGAAAATCACATCAGAGACTGCTTTATCTGCATTTTCTTGAAACTTCCATTTATAGTTGGTCTAGAAAAGTTTAGTTGCCACTTCTCGCGCCGCTTTTGAGCTTATCAGCTCATCGGGAATTGCCTTTGGGGGCTGAGTCGCACCCAGCACAGCACTCATCATTCGGTTCTCGGTTATTTTTATTTTTATGACTTCAACTTCCCCTGGTAATGGAGCTCGGTTTACGTTTATTAGCATACTTCGCAGTGGCTTTGGCAGTGGCTCAAGGTGCGTTTAATGGCGGACATCTAGTTGCCTGCGCCGGGCACTTTATGACTTCATTAGGAAGCCATTTACGAGTATGTGCTTCAGATGTTTTCCGCCCGCCCATTTGCTATATATATGTACTTATATATATATATATATTCCCCCGATTCCGCCGTCTATCCCGCTCTATCCTTTGTGGGCCCGCGCTGAAGGCCAATTGATTTGTTATAGACATTGGCAGCAAGATGGAGGCTTCAGGGCGAGAAATCGAGAGTGGGGACTGAAGCCGGCTGGAGCTAAAATCTAATGAAATTTATGCAAGCGCTGCATTGCGGCTAAACATGAATGGGAAGCCCCGAACTCTCACTCTCACTCACCTCGTCCATGTGGCGGCCACTTTTACCTGGCTTGTTCGCCAGTTTACAATGTTCCACGAGTGTGTGTGGCTACACTTGAAAAAATCAATGACTGAGATGGAATAAAATAAATATTAGAATGTTTTCTTAGCTTGCGAAATTATGTATTAAATTATATTAATGAAGAGAAACGTTGAGTATAAGTGAGCTATTTATCTACCGCGAATACCAAAGATAAGAATTAAGAGGAATACCATTTGAACAAGATCACTGAGCCATGAGTTAAAATATAATAATAATATAATAATTTGACCTCCATTTTGCTTTGGAACATACACTTTAAATACTTTTCTTAAATTTATCCATATGCAACTAATTTGAAGTCTCACATTTTATATACGAGGTGTGTTCAAAAAGTAAGGTGACTTTTCAAATTTCGCGGGCAACATATTTTCGATTATCGATTTTTTTGTTTTGTTATATTGGTACACTCTTCCCTAACATCTGTACCAAGTTTCAATGGAACATCCTCTTTTGTTTGGTTGTGAGAGGCGTAAAGTTACAAGTTATTTTGCGAGCTCGGCGATTTTTTGCTATCGAAAAATATGGATCAAAGGATTTGCATCAAATTTTGTGTAAAAAATAAAATTAAGTGCTCTGAAACACTTGAAATGTTGACAGTGGCATACGGTGAAACTGTTCTGAGTAAAAAAAATGTGTACAAGTGGTACAAACTCTTCCAAGATGGCCGGGAAGATGCCAATGACCAGCCTCGCTCTGGACGCCCAAGCACGTCAACAACTGATGAAAACGTTCAAGCAGTGACGAAAATTGTTTTGGAAAATCGTCGAATCACTATCAGAGAAGTTGCTGAAGATGTCGGTATATCGCTTGGCTCGTGCCATGAAATTTTTTCAAACGTTTTGGGTATGAGTCGTGTGTCAGCGAAGTTTGTTCCGAAATTGCTGAATTTTGACCAAAAGAACCGTCGCATGAGCATCGCTCAAGAGCTGTTGAATGACGTCAACGACGACCCAGATTTACTCAAAAGGGTCATAACTGGAGACGAATCATGGGTATATGGTTATGATATCGAAACCAAAGCCCAATCGTCCCAATGGAAGAGCCCAGGCGAGCCAAGACCGAAAAAAGCACGCCAAGTTCGATCAAATGTCAAAGTTTTGATCACTGTTTTCTTCGATTACCATGGCGTGGTGCATCAGGAGTTCTTACCATATGGTCGTACGGTCAATAAACAGTATTATCTGGAAGTTATGCGCCGTTTGCGAGAAGCAATACGAAAGAAACGTCCAGAATTGTGGAAAAACAATTCATGGCTTTTGCATCACGATAATGCCCCTGCTCACTCATCTTTGCTTGTGAGAGATTTTTTGGCCAAAAACAACACCACAATAATGCCTCAGCCACCATATTCACCGGATTTGGCCCCATGTGACTTTTTCTTGTTCCCAAAACTGAAGAGACCTATGAAAGGACGGAGATTTGCAACGATTGAAGAGATAAAGACTGCATCGCTGCAAGAGCTCAAGGCTATACCGAAAAGTGCTTATGGGAAGTGCTTTGAGGATTGGAAAAACCGTTGGCATAAGTGTATTGTATCTGAGGGGGATTACTTTGAAGGGGACAACATAAATATTGATAAATAAATTAATAGTTTTTCTTGAAAATACAAAGTCACCTTACTTTTTGAACACACCTCGTATAAAAGCTTATAAAAGCTTATATTCTATTCTTTGTAAATAATCCAATTATACAATTTAAAATTTAAGTGTTTGAAGAGTCAAGAACTATAAATAAATGCTTGCTTAAAATTTAATTTCAGAAAGCTTATTTTTTTCTACATTCCTTTATAATTTGTTTTAACTTGTTTTTGTTATTAATTTTCTTAAATAATCAAGTGGTGCGTTAACTTTTGTTAAGTGTACGGCTGACCTACATAGTTCCCGGGCCAACGAGAGGGAAGGCAGTCGGGGTTTTTATGAACACTCTGG